CAGTCCGCCTGCGTTTCCTCGCTGGAGAGCTTTCTCCCCGGTGGGTCCACAAGTTGCAGGAATGAAGGCCCCTGGGATCAGCCCACAGGCGATAACAGACAGGAGTTGGTGAAGCGGCCCTGGCCAGTTTCGCTCAGTGGTTAGAGCATCAGCCCACAGACTGAAGGGTCCCGGGTTCGATTCCAGCCAAGGGCACACACCTCAGTTGCAGGCTCGATCCTGATCCCAGGCCCTGGCTGGGGCACGTGCGCGAGGCAACCCATCGATGCGTCTCTCTCACACCCACGTTTCTCTCTCTCCCTCCCTTCCACTCTCTCTGAAAACCAATGGAAAAAACATCCTTCAGTGAGGATTAAAAAGGAAAATTAAAAAAAAAAGTTAGTGAATCTATACCCCATCTCCCTGGCCCCTCTATGAATAACTCCAAAGAAGTGTGTCCGCCACAGACCCCAGAGCTCCCGCAAGGACCAGCCTCGTTGCCCTGCATGATATAACAGGGTCTACTGGCTGCCTTCCTCCGCTCGGCCCCCCTCCTGGGGTCTCCTATGCACACCTCCCCACTAAACCACTCATGCTCAAACTTTTGCTGCTTCTAAGGGTACCCAACCTAGGACAGATGCCACACCCCCCTGGGGCACTCACAGCATGTAGGTGATGACACCCACGCTCCACATGTCCGTGGGGAATGAGACGAACTCGTAGTTGACGACTTCGGGGGCCAGGAACTCGGGGGTGCCGAAGTTCACCTTCAGCTTCTCCCGGGGCTTGTACCTGGGGAGGAAGGGGAGAGGACCGTGGGTGTCAGACCAGGGAGAAGGTGCAGAGGCTGGGACTCATCCCCAGAGCAGGCGAGACATTCCAGGCCCCACCTGCCACCACGCGCGGCATTTACAGGGGAATCCTCACTCCCCAGGCCCCACCGTGGGCTTTCCTAAGTCCCCAGGGAGAACCAGAAACCACAGCCCCCTCCTCTAGCCTTTACAATCTGAAAAGGAGAGAAAATCAATATATCTATTCGCACGCAGCCACACGCTGAGCGCAGACGGTGGAGCTGGGGGGGTGGTCAGCTCTGTGCCGTGCGCAGTGCAGCTGGACCTGGCGGCCTCGATGTCGGTGCAGGCTCATCGTGTTGGTACCAGGGCAGGAGGTCTATGGGAAATCTCTCTTTCTGCCCCTCGAGTTTTCTGTGAAGTTAAAACTGCTCTAAAAAAAATTAAGTGTGAATTTTAACAATGTAATGGGAACTTGCTGTTGGTCAGGCACCATGTGACTGGCAGAGCAGGCTTCATCCAATGCCAAGGGTCTGCTCCTGCCACTGCTGAGAGCCCGCCCCACCGAGCGCGCAGGCCTCGGACCAAGGGCCCTACGCAGGTTCAGTGTTCGCCACACACGTGGCTGCACAGGACGAACGGCAAAACTATCCTTCACTAGGCGTTAGGCATTTTAAGAGCCTAAGATGGTTCCAAATGACAAACAATACTCATTTTCTGCACCGACACTAGAGAGCCTGACCACCCTCCTCCGACAGCTCAGTACTGTCGTGTATTGTCTATTTAAAATTCATCACTGCCTGTCAGCAGGGACTGATTATGTCCCCTTTCACCAGGATCTACTCCAGACCTGGTGTCCCAAACCACCCTACACAGTCACGTTCCCGCTTTCCTACCTACCTCGTCATTTCCCAGAGGGCAGGGATGTGACACAGCCCAGCACACCCTGGGCCCAGGAGGCAGGGACAATGAATAGAGTTAAGCTGCCCAGTACCCCCACTCAGTGCCCCCCCTAACCATTGCTGCCCTCGCTGCCCTCTCTGCTCACACAGGTGGTTTGAAGGAGAAGCAGAGCCAGGGCACAAAGCTGCCCCCTGAGGTGGCTACAGTCTGAGGCTACCAGCCTCCTCCTCAGACAGCTTTCTTGTGTCAGTCCCAAAACTCAAAAACTGGCTGAGCTGTGTGTAACTGTGCCCAAGAGAGCTGGAAAGAGTGCCCAGTGAGTTCTAAGTGCCAAAATACAACCCCCTTACCTTCGGGCCAGCCCAAAGTCAATGATCTTTATTTGGTGTCCTGTCTGATTGACACACAGTATGTTCTCCGGCTGGGAAAGAAAGAGAAGTCTGCTTAGGCTCAGTCAAGAGCTAAGAAGGTCTGCAGCTCCCACACTTATTTGTCAAGAGGCCTCAGCTTCCCAGCCTCCCAGGGAAATGAATGGCTCAGGACAGCCTTACAGGGATGGATGGATGGATGGATAGATAGATGATAGATGATAGATAGATGATAGATGATAGATAGATAGATAGATAGATAGATAGATAGATAGATAGATAGATGATAGATAGATAGATAGATGATAGATAGATAATAGATAGATAGATAGATGATAGATAGATAATAGATAGATAGATGATGATTGATAGATAGATAGATAGATAGATAGATAGATAGATAGATAGATAGATAGATAGATGATACATAATAAATGATAGATAGACATTGAAAATAAATAAAGTGGGCTAGTGTGAGACAATAGTTGATGGTATGAACTGTGGGGAACTGGAGGACTTCTGCCCTGTGTAAAGAGGTAGCCACTGCTCAGCTTCAGCCACTGCCCACCACACAGAAATGCAGTTCTTCAATCCTCAAGATAATCCAGAAATCCAGGTTTTTATGTGAGAATTACATGCATTTAAATGTTGACACTAAATCCTTGCTGAACTCATTTATTAGTTCAAATAGTTTCCCCCTTAGGATTTTCTATGTACAAGATCATGTCATCTGTGAAGACGTTTACTTCCTTTCCAATGTAAAGGCATTTTGTTTCTTTTCTTGATTCTTTGCCCTTGTTAGAACCTCAAGTACAATATTTAATAGAACTACCAAGAGCAGTATCCTTGTTTGTTCCTGATCTTTTTTTTTTTTAAATATATCTTTATTGATTTCAGAGAGAGGAAAGGAGAGGGGGAGAGAGAGATAGAAACATCAACGATGAGAGAGTCATTGATCGAGCCCACAACCCGGGCATGTGCCCTGACCGGGAATCGAACCCCGATCGCCTGGATCCTAGGTCGATGCTCAACCGCTGAGCCACGCCCGGCCGGGCTGTTCCTGATCTTAAGGAGAAAGCATTCCACCTTTTTCCAGTAAGTATTACGTTAGCTGTTTTTCATAGATGGCCTTTATCAGATTGAAGAAGCTATATACCTAGTTTGTTTAGTGTTTTCATCATGAAAGTTGTTCAATTTTGTCATCTGCATCTATTGAAATGATTTTGCAATTTTTGTCCTTTATTCTCTTACTATGGCATATTGCATTGATTTGTTTTCATATGTTAAACCGACCTTGCATTCTTGGGATATATCCCGCTCTGTGCTGTGTATAATCCTTTTTATATGTTGCTGCATTTAGTTGTTAATATTTACTGAGAAATTTTGCATTTATATTCATAGGGGACATTGCTCTGTAGTTTTCATTTCTTGTGATGTCTTTGGTTTTGATATCAGGATAAGACAGGTCTCATAAAATGAGATAGGGAGTGTTCCCTTCTCTTCTGTTTTTTGAAAGAGTTGCTAAAAGTTGGTGAAACACTTGGTAGAATTCACCAGGGAAGCCTTATGGCCTAGGCTCCTCTTTGTGGGTAGTTTTTAATACTAACTTGATTGCTTCACTTGTTATAGGTCTATTCAGATTTTCTATTTTTTCTTGAGTCAGTTTTCAGTAGTTTATGTCTTTTAGGAACCTGTCTATTTTATCTAGGTTATCTAACCTATTGGCATGCAATTTTTCATAGTATTCCCTTATAATTCTTCTTTATTTCTATAAGGCTGATGATAGTGATCCTCCCTCTTTTGTTCATGATTTTAATAATCTGAGTCTTCTTTTTTTTCTCTTGTTCAATGTCGCTGAAGATTTGCCAATTTATTGATCTTTTCAAAGAACCAACTTTTGATTTCATTGATTTTCCTTTTTAAAAAATTTATATTCATTGATTTTAGAGAGAGAGAAGAAGGGGGAGAGAGGGAGATGGGGGAGAGAGAGAGAAAGGAAGGAAGGAAGGAAGGAAGGAAGGAAGGAAGGAAGGAAGGAAGGAAGGAAGGAGATGGCTGCCTTGTATCAGTGCTTACTTTTTTTCAAGTAGACAAAAGAAAGTGTACTGCATTCATTGAATGGAATATGGCACAGCCCTCAAAGAGAGTGAGAAAGAATATCTACAATGTCCTATTAACTAGAAGAGACAAGTTTACAAACGAGAGCAGAATCGATTCCGTGTGTGTGTATGTGTGTCCGTGTGTGTGTGTGTCCGTGTGTGTGTGTCCGTGTGTCTGTGTGTGTCCGTGTGTGCGCCCGCGCTCACGCCACGCTGCACGGCCAATACTAAAGGCCTGTCAGCACGGAGACTGGGTGGGAAGCACTCTCACGTCTATTTCACACATTTCTGTATTGTCTATATTTGTTACCAGAGGCATACGTTCCCATGTTGATTTTTTAAAAACTAATCCTAAAGATATTTTTTTAAAAAAAAAGTCACTCTGGCTGGGTAGCTCAGTTGGTTAGAGCGTCGGTGAGAGCGTTGCCCCAATACGCCAAGGTTGCAGGTTCGATCCCGGGTCAGGGCACATACAAGAATCAACCAATGAGTGCATAAATAAGTGGAACCACTAATCAGTGTTTCTCTCTCTCTCTCTCCCTTCCTCTCTAAAATAAAAATAAAAATATTTTAAACCTCTACATTCCAAAAAAGAAAAAAAGTCATTGTATCATTTAATCATTTTACAGATGAAAACACCGAGGCTCAGAGCATCGGCAGGACTTGTGTTCCTGTGACTGCAGGACGAGGAAATGACAGGGAGCCAGGAGGGAGGCAGGGAACGTGCCGCTAGAGCTCTCAGCGACGAGCGCAGCAGAGGCGCGGGCCCGGCGCCCGCCCGCCGGCGGAGCCTGACCTTCAGGTCCAGGTGCAGGATGTAGTGCTGATGGAGGTAGTGCACGCCCTCGCAGATCTGCCTGGTGAACAAGATCACGTCCAGCTCGGTCAGGTGGTACTTCTCATCCGTGATCCGGTCAAAGAGTTCACCCCCGTCCACGCTGCCAGGGAAAAGGGAGAGGCAGGCACTGGACTGAGAAAGCCCTCAGAGACCTTTCCAGCTCTCAGAGCCAACCCAGGTGAGCCCGAGGGTGCCACTGCCATCTGGAGTCTTATGGGGACCTTTGCTCAGAGTGCAGGTGGTAAAAAGGCCCCAGGGGCGGCTGGATTGCGTCCGCAGGCTCACTCTGGATGCCATCGGCCACACTGTCAACTCATCTGCCTACAGGGGCCTGTTAGTACCTACAAGGTTCTTACCCCAAATGGGCAAATCAGACCCATTTCCAGCTGGAAATACAGGTCCAGCATCACTAGATCTTCAAGAAAAGCCAGACACCTAGGTTTTACTGTGAAACTTCCCAATTTCCAAGTGCTAACAACCAAATCAAAATTACTAAGAAACTGCGCCAGCCAAACTGACATATATCGCAGGTAAGTCAGGCTCACGGCTGCCACTTTGTGACAAATGGCCTTGTCCTCACGCTCCAAGCTGGAGGTCAAGCAGAGGAGGTGGCGAGCGCCCTGGACATCCCAGACGGAAAAGGCAGGAGAGCTGTGCCTGGAACCCCGCTCCTGCCCCGCGCTGAGCCCTGGCCGCGAGCAGCAGCCCACGGCAGACACTCACTACTCCATGACCAGGGTGAAGCTGCTCTTGCTCTCGAAGGCGTCGTAGAGCTGGATCAGGTTGACGTGGCTCAGCTGGTTCATGATGGCAACCTCGTTCCTCACGTCCTCCTTAGGAGCCAGAGGGGCGGGGAGTTTCCAAGAAACGGGTCAGGAAGAGGGCCAGCTGCACCTCCCACGGCACACGCGTGTACACACATGTGCCCACCCACACCCTGTTTCCTGCTCTCGCAACAGGTCTCCTCCACTCACCACCCAAACTGGGTTTTTACAGCAGAAGGGCCCTTTGTCAGACCCGCCCGTTTCACAGACAGGAAACCTGAGGCCCGGGAAGGAAAGTGGTAGGTGCAGGAGGACCCTGGGGTGTGGGCATCATGGAAAAGAGGCAGGAAAGGCGCAGGTTTCCTGCTCGGGTTGGAGGGGTCTGGGCAGCTGGGGGCCAGCGGACTGAGAAGGACGTGATGGGTCCTGAGCTTGGCCAGAGGCTGGGCTGCCGGGGCGGACGCTCACCCGATCCTTGGCGTTCTTCACTTTGATGATCTTGGCTGCCAGCGACAGGCCTGTGGACTTCTCCGTGCATCTGTGGACCTGACCAAACCGGCCCCTGCAGGCAGGATGACACAGCAGCTGAGAGCCCAGGAGGCTCACCCCCCACGGCAGACATGCTGTCACCCCCCCACCACTTTCTGGTCCCACCCCTCCTCCACATACACCCCAGAGGTACCCATGTCATCATGCCCACTTCACACAGGCTCCCTAAAACTTAGACAAGAACTGCTTCACCCCACACCCCCAGGCTATCCTGCACCCCTGGGAATATTGTCTCACCCCCACAGGGCTGAGCTTCACCCTGGAGGACATCCCTCCTACCCCACCCCACGCAGGTCCTCCTGCCGTCTCCGGTACATGGTCCCTCCTGCACTCTAGAGGCCGTCCTCCCCGCCACCCCCACCCCCCCATGGACTGTCCATTTACTTCTCGGGACATCCCGGCCCTGGCCCCATCAACCAGTTCCTGAGGACCCCCAGCAGCACACAGCGGGCTCTCCAGGTGTCTGCCCTGGGCCCTCCTGCTCCCACCCTCATCAAAGCAGAAAGCTCACCTACCCTCCCAGGACTTCGTGCTGGCAGACTGCGTAACCCGCCGAGGTCGCGGTCTCCTTGACACTCACCACCCGGTGCTCGAAAGGGGCTGGTGGGGCTGGGCTGTCGTCTGTTCAGGAGACAACAGCCTGTGAGCACCCCCACCCTGTTCCCTCCTCCCCATGGCTGGGGCCAACCTGAGTTCATTGGCTGCGGCTCTGGCCCTGGGAGACACCAGCAGACTTCCCCAGACCTGCATTATCTCTCCCTGGGAGCTTCAGGGAGGCCCCCCAGAAGTAAGCCCTCCAAACACAATACATGGCACCCCCCTCACTTACCCAGAACCAGGCTGCCAGCCTCGGCTCCCTGGGGCGCCCTTCCTGCCTCGGCTCTGCCCAGGTCCCCGGGCGTGCAGTCCTCCCAGGTCTCAGGGTTTCCTGCTCCCGGGCCTGTGTCCTGTTGCAGACCTGGGGCCCCAGCGTCTTCTCCCGTGTCCCTCCTGGCCCCGTTTGGTCCCATGGCGGGTTCGGCCCCAGGCCCCGGCTTGTCCTCAGCCTTTGCTCCCCCTTCGCTGCTCCTTGTAGGCAGTGGGGAGCACTCACTGGCTTCTTTCAGGATCTGTTTTCCCGATTCAGTCCCAGGGTCCTGAGGACAGCCCCCATGCTCAGGTGGGTCCTGCTCACCAGACTGGGCAGCTGCTGGAGCCTCCGCAGGGGGTGTGGGTCTAAGGCTGCCCCCTTGAGTCACAAGCAGCTCCCCAGGGATATCCGTCTCCTGCACATGGACAGAGATCCTGGGCATAGAGAAAGATGGCCCTGAGAAGGTCAACAGTTACTGCTGCCCCGTGGCCTTCCCACCCAGGGGGCGTGGGGTGACCCAAAGGCACTGCCGTGCATCCCCTTGCCACAGGCACACTCCGGGCAGCCATTGCACCTCGACAGCAGTGCTCGGTCCCACCCAGTGCAGATCGGCCAGGAGCCCCCACAGGGCAGCCCACTGCCAACCAGCACGGACGCCTGAATATAGGCCTCTGCTCCTCCAACAGCCCTGTGCTCTCTGAGGAAGGGCAAGGGGTGGTTTCCCACTTCCTGAGCCCTCGGCAGGGCTGGTGTGCCCGATACTCAGCTCAAGGCTGACTCTGACGTGGAGACCTTGCCCTCTCAGAATCTTTGGGGGGAGCCCATTACAAGTTCATGGAAAGTCTCCCCCATGCCCAGATTCCACACTTAGAACCCTAATGAGTCAGCTCCACGTTGGAATCACCTGGGGAGCTTGTAAAAACAAAACAAACAAAAAACCCAGGGCCTGAGCCTCACCCCAGACTGAATAAATCAGAATCTCTGGGCATCAGTATTTTAAAAATTCTTTCTAGGTGATTCTTATGGGCGCCAGGTAAGAACAGTGTTCTAGGCTCCCAAAGCAGGGCCTAGGCCTTGTCTCCCCATGAGGCCAGCCCAGAGCCTACAGACACTGGCACTCAACCATGCAGCCGGTCCCTCAGCCACGCTCCCACTAAGGGGCTCGCTCACTCCTTCCCTGTCCCAGCTGACAGGGGTTCCACATACCTTGGATGCAGGTCTTCACCACCATGAGCTGCCTTGGCCTGGGCAGGCGGCTCTGAGGTCAGCTTCTTGCCCTCCTCTGTGGGCAGAGGGTCAGGATAGCTGGACGATGGTCCCTGTCCTGCACCTGGTGCAGCCTCCTGGTTGGTGGGGGTCTCGCTGACCCTGCTGGATGCTGCAGGAAATTCCAGGCCCATCCTGGGGTTCTCTCCAGACACCTCAGGAACTTTGGCGTCTTCCTCTCTGGGCAGCGGCAGGTGTCCAGGGGGCACCTGGTCTGTACCAGGGATTCCGTCTCCCTGCCCTGGCAAGGACTCTGACTGGGCGAGGACATCGGATCCCATCCCTGAAGCGCCGACAGGGGGCGGCCTCTCCGCTGTCCCCTCTGGCAGGTCAGCCTTCTGGCTCTCTACGGGAGAGCAGGTGGGTGAAAGAGCAATCCCATTGGAGGAATCTGTCCCAAAGATATGACAGGGAACATGCAGAGGGCCGGGCAGTGTGGCATGTTTGTAAGAGGCAGAGTGGAGACAGCCAGAGGCCAGGGGCTGAGGGCCTGAACCAGCACACTTCCCATAGGCGCGGCCAGGAGCAGGAGAAACAGATTCAGCCTGTGCAGCTAAGGGGTGGCCTCCGGGGGCCTGCAGGTGAGCAAAAGTGAGGTGTACGGTGCGATTCTGTTTCATCTAAGATGCGTGTGCGCATGCATGGGTGCAACCACTTACAACGTGGTCTAAGAGACCCGCCCGCCAAGGAGAGATGAGACACAAACTTTGTAAAATGGTTACATGTGGCAGAGGAAACAGGACAGAAGCTTGTCTTCTCTTTGTACCTTGTTCTGTCTATTGGGTTCTGGAACCAGGTAAATATTATGCAAACTTATTTAAAAAATAAAATTTTTGAAAAACCAATCCAGCCAGGCCAGCGTGGCTAGATTGGCTGAGCATCAGCCTAGGATCCAGGAGATCACGGTTTGAATCCCGGTCAGGGCACATGCCCGGGTTGCGGGGTTGATCCCCAGTAGGGGGCGTGCAGGAGGCAGCCAATCAATGACTCTCATCATTGATGTTTCTGTCTCTCTCTCCCTCTCCCTTCCTCTCTCTGAAATCAATAAAGATATATTGTTAAAATTAATTAATTAATTAAAACAGCAATTGACTGTCTGTCTCTGACAGGTACACAGGAAGGACAAAAAGAAGTGGGAAAAGGCGCCTGGCAGGTGGTGGGGTGGTTTTAGTTGGAAGCTGCAGGCGAGCGATGCCATGGAGGAAGCAGGAAGGGGCCGCACTCACCTTCCTGGGGCCCGCTGAACTCAGCTGGCACGCCCCTGGCGCTCAGCGCACGCTGTGGTTTGGCTCCTTTCTCTTCCTCTCTCTCTTTGTTCTAAAAGAACCAGGAGCATGTCATCATCATCGTCAACATCATGGCTCAGGCCACAGACATTTGCTGCCACCTACCATGTGCTTGGGCTACAAGCACTCACTCCATCTCAGTTACACCCAGGGCGGACACTCTAGACATAAGGACGCTGAGGCTTCCCCAGGTCCCCTTCTTAATGAGTCACTGCATTGCTGGCAAGGGCAGACCCCGCCCCTGACAGAGGGTCTAAGCAGACTGGACCACAAAGTAGTTAGGCCAGGGATGGAAAATGAGTTTAATGTCAAAATGCCAACTCAGACGCATTGGTCAAAGCGAGTAGAGTGTGGGTTAGGGTTGGAACCCTAAGTCACATGAATCCATGCTTGCAGGGGGCATGCCTTGGTCAACCAGCAACGCCTGCCTGGGAGCTGAACCCCACGGTCACCCTCTCCAGTACAGCAGTGTGGCCAGGGACACTGGCTGGCAGACTCTTGAGCCCCAACCTTCACCACTCAGCCAAGATCCCTAACTTCTTAGCACCCCACTTTCCTCAGTGGGGAGAATATTGCCTACTCACAGGGTTAGTGGGAGGCTGGGGGGACCACCTGTGAAACGCACTGAGAAGGGTGCCCAGCTCACGGGCAGTGCTCAGAGCGCTGGTGATTTTGTCCTGCCTGAGACAGAGCGGCCTGTGCTCCATGACCAGGGCCTGTGCGGACGCTGGGAGCCCTGCGCTCAGCAGGGGCCTCAACTCTGACCCCCTCAGCAGCCCGCGCTGAGCACGCACCCACACTCACTCCCAAAACATGTTCCCGCAACAGCTCAGAGCACTCAGTGTTTCTAAGTATAAATATTTCTAGGTGGCTCAACCCCTTGCTGGGTCCCCCTGGTGCTTCTGGGGGCTCTGAGCTCTTGACTGGTGAGCCCTGAGACTCCTGGACCTGTCCCAGCGGCAGGGCTAGGCACAGCCCTCACCTGGGTGGAGCCCCTTCCTCCTGCCAGCCCTGCCTGGAGCCCCAGAGGCCCAGCAGAGCTCAGGGTGCACTCTGTTTGGCCTGCCCAGCATTTAAATGTTTTGTTATCCAGACTTTAAATCTAGAATTTTACATTAAAATTTCAAGTTTCCTGTTGGAGTGATGGAAGCTGCTCTGCACTTTGATTGTGGTGCTGGTGATCTGGGTGTATACATTTGTTGAACTGTATACTTAAATGTGTATGTATGGAAAGTGGAGTGTATGTAAACTCTACCTTAATAAATCTGATCAGAAAAAAATTCAAAGTTTCCAGCTTCTCTTGGAAAAACAGTGTGAAGATCTGACAACACTAGGCCCACTTGACACATACCAGCAGGAGCAGGTCCCTCTGACTGGGAGTCATGGTCCTCGACTCTCAGGTGTCTCCCTGGCGTAAGGATGAGGGTTGGTTCCATTGTTATCTCTATCCTGTACCCATGTCCCTCAATTCCATCTCCTGCTCATGTCTGAAATTCCAGGACACCAAGTTTTGCCCTCTAAATGGTAATGACATGACATGTAGGGACATAGAGCCCAGTGCCTGGCATGTGGTCGGCACCTAATAAAAAAATGCTAGCTGCTGCCCTGGCCAGTATGGCTCAGTAGTTAAGAGTGTCAGCCTGTGCACCAAAGGGTCACAGGTTCAATTCTGGGTCAAGGATACGTACGTGGGTTGCAAGCTCCATCCCCAGCCCTGCTTGGGGAGCTTGCAGGAGGCAACCAATTGATGTCTCTTTCACATCAATGTTTCTCTCTCTTTCTCTCTCTCCCCCGCCCCTCCCATCCACTCTCTAAAAATCAATGGAAAAAATATCCTCGGGTAAAGATTAACCAAACAATAAAAATAAAAATAAATAAATACTAGCTGCTGTCCTCAGGATTAGCACCAGTATCATCAATGTGACCCAGACCCCTGCTCAGCAGAGACCTGTCCCATGGCCTCTTTCTGCAGACTGTCTTGCCAGCCTGCAGTCGGGGGAGCTGGAGGCTTTATCGCAGGCTGCCTCCTGTCTCTCCCCACCCGCAGACAGGGACTCGAACAGACTGTCCTTTGGCAGACCTTGCTGTCCTCTCCCTCCCTCCGTCTTTGGTGTAGGCAGGCACGCACGTGCGCACACACAGAGCTTTTTGTCTTCAGGGCTCAACTTTGTGGTCCCTGGTTGTGCTGCGCATGCAGAGAGAGGACAAGACCCTCACCCCCAGAGGACGGCCATCCCTGAACAGCTCCACCGTGACTTGGGCCTGCCCCCGGCTGGGCCTGAATTTGTCCGCCCCGCAGAGCAGCAGGCTGCTGGTAATAACCGAATCCATTTCTCAACCAAATGGAGCCGCCGGGCATCTCACCAGACCCAAGAAGGACGTGCACAGAGCCCTGGCACGAGTTTAAAATGGAACGGCTAGCGCTAGAATCAAAGTCAGTTCCACAGATGAATCTTATGCCCCTGCTCTCTTTGGAAACACAGAGCAGGTTCCCTAGAAAGTCTCCATAGTGCAGTTTTCAGCGCTGACCATTGTCAGCTGGCTGGGCCTGGTCTCAGTCCACTGCCCGTCCTCTGGCACCTCCTGTGTGACCAGCCCTGGCCGCAGGGCACAGAGATGTAGGGGCCTTGTGGCCGGGCCATGAGGAGCTGACCACCTGGCTGGGGGACCAGGCCCAGACCTGGATGTGTGTGACACACAAAGACCAGAAGGGAGTCAGGCAGTGGGGAGCAGACGAGAAAGGTGAGGACTGGGGAAAGAGCAAGCTCTCTGACCTCCCCCATCCAGAAATGCCGACACATCCGCAAAACACGCGGCGGCTGATTGCATAACGTGTGACGAGCTTTCACAGAATAAAAAGAGAAAGGCAAAAACCTGAGGTAGGAAAGGGGGAAAGGATGGGAGCAGGCGGCTCACAGAACCAGCAAAAGGTTAAATCCATGAAAGACGCTCAAACGTCTGGAAAAGAAATACAAACAAAAACTATCGTGAGATATATAATTCTATCTACTTTTGGTTGTTTGACATTTTCCATAATGAAAAGTTTAACATTTTTTTATGAATTAAAGAAAAGTGTTAGCTTTAAGAAGCATATAACTAATTGCCTTATTTGGAGCTTGACTCAAAATAAACAAATTGTAAGGGGAAAAGAGCATAAGACGGGGTCGGGGGCTGGGTGAGGAAGATGCAGGGACTGAGGAGCACAGATTGGAAGCTACAGTCACAGGGGAGTGAAGTCCAGCACAGGAAACAGTCAGTCATGTTGTGGTAACTATGTGTGGTGCCAAGTGGGCGCTGGAAATACTGGGGTCCACTTTGCAAAGTGTATGACTGTCTAACCACCATGCTGTACACCTGACACTAATACAGAATAATACTGAATGTCAACTGTAACTGAAAAATAAAATTAGAAAAAAGAGCATAAGACTGGAAGTTTGAGCACTGGCTTTGGTGATGTAAAGTTACAGTTTACTTTTTATGTGTGACAATGGGCAAAAGAACCCTTATCTTTTGGATAAAAATGCTGAAATGATTACGGAAGAAATGATCCAAAATCTCAGGTCTGCTTCAAAACACTCTGGAAAGAGGAAAATGGGTGGGGGACACTGGCCTCCAGTTACGTGGCTCAGAGGGGTCGTTCTACTAACTATTTTATAAATGCTTGAAAACGTTCATTCTAAAATGTTAAAATACACACACACACTCGCACAGTAAGATCTCCGTTTCATTCCCCAGCCAGGCAGTCGAGAAGCTGGGGAAGGAGCTCTGTTAGCGACCGGCGGCGCGGGCGTCCCGGGGGCGCCCTAGAGTAGAGCGCCCCTTTGAAGGTCGGCCTGGCTGTGCGGATCCTGCACGTTCACCCTGCCGCCTGGCACCGCCACTTCCAGGGGCGCGGCTGACGGACAGACTCACACCCGGATGGGCAGTCACTGCATCACTTTCAACCGCTGGAAAGGAGAGCGCTGACCAACACGACGCGGGTGGGTGCACACCTGAAGACACTGCCCAGTGGAGCACTCCGCAACTTCACCAAGATGCGGGCGCTTCCTAGGCATTAATACGAAACGATGCTCCAAATATATGAAGTAAAAAACAGCCACGTCCTGGCCGCTTTGGCTCAGTGGTTAGAGCGTCGGCCTGCGTTCTGACGGGTCCCAGTTTGATTCTGGCCAAGGGCACTACCTTGGTTGCAGGCTCCATCCCCGGCCCGTTGAGGAGCATGTGGGAGGCAGCCAGTTGCTGTGTCTCTCTCACATCAATGTTTCTCTCTCTCTCTCTCTCCCACTCTCTCTGAAAAGCAGTGGAAAAAATATTCTCAGGTGAGGGTTAAAAAAAAAACAGAAAACAAAAATGACCAAGGCCAGAACAATGTGAATAATAATTGCATTAAAACCAAACAAAGGGGGTAGTGTGCACCCCAACATGCTTATAGATACCAGGCTGTTTCTAGAAGGTTTCACAGGAAACTGACACCTGTGCTTGGGAGGTGGGGGCCTTGTCCTGGGACCTGGGGAATGGAGGAGGGGGCTTCTCTTTACACCCTGGGAACGGATTTCACCCTCTGCACATATTAGATGAATTCTCTTTTAAAGCTGAGGTTGGTTATCGGTGGCAAGGGGTCATGTCTCCCCTGCAGGCTGGACTCACGGGGACGGTGCAGAGAGCAGGGGACTGGGGTAAGGGGGTGCTGGGGGAAGTGGCCGGGCAGGGAGGGGATGGGCTCAGCTGGGACAGCTCTGGCCAGGCTGGGGGTTGGGAAGGAAGGCACGAGCTCCTGAGACCCCAGCTTATCTGTTGCCAGAGGTTGGTGGGCAACAACAGGGATCAGAGGTGGCGGCTCCAGGCCACGTGAGTGTTGCTAAGTGGCTGTCCCTTAGCTGTTCCCAAACAGAGTGTTGCTGGTACACACCTCATGTGCGCACATAAAAACACCCCGCCCCAGCCGAACTTCCATTGCCAGCTGGTTTGATTGCACAACAACCCTTGGGAAGAGCAGCTCCCACAAATGCCACACTCCACCCCCAGGCTCCGGCTCCCACCTGGCCTGTGTCCCCCATGGGTCACTATCAACACATCTCCACAGGGCAGCTGCACACTCCGCCCACTCTGGGACAGGGCACAAGGTTGGGGACAGGAAGGGAGGGGGGAGGGATTTCTGAATGGGGGCTCTGTCAGGGCAAACAGACCGCTCCCCACCTGTCTCCCACAAGGGACACAAGGAGCAAAGAGGTCACTGCATGTTCAGGAAGCTTCAAGGCCCTCTCCTTCATGGCCTGTGCGTCCCCCACTTCTAGGTGCCTTGGAGCTGCCCAAGGCCCCACAGCCCTCACCAGGTCACTGCCTCTCCCTCTCCCTGTCTGGAAACCCGCCTATGACCCTTATAGTCCCGTCTCTCCTTTTCCCCATCCACAGGTCACACAGGAGGCACAAGAAGGCGACAAGAGCCCCCAGCTCTCCTAACACTAGCCACCTGGCTGGCAGCCCCACCAGCTCCTGGGCTGCCCCTCCAGCCAGTACCACCAGGGCAGGGACGGGAACCCACCTCTGAGGGGCCATCAGCCAGGCTGCCTCTCCTCCAGGGGACACTCCCTTGCAGGATGAAATCCACCACCTTCGAGTTCTGGAACACAGCCCCCACCAAAGCTATGGCCCTGTCCACGGCCACCACCACCCGGAACAAGGACTCGAGTCTGGCGCCGTGCTGGGCTGCATCCTGCCGCGAGGCCCTGACGAGCTCCAGGACCTCCGGCCACCCAGCCTGCGCGTCACCTGGAGGGGCAGGGTCGGCCCCGGGGGGGCCCGGGGCTCTGGAGGCCTCCAGCCGGTGCAGGCCTTGCTCCAGGTGGTCCATGCCTTGGCACACGCACTGCAGCTTCTTCGAGACGTCTTCTTGGAAATGCAGGAGTTGGTCGACCTTCTCGTTGAGCACCGTCAGCTTTCTGTCCATGGTGGTTAGGCAGGCCTTGCCGGCCGGCAGCCCTCGGGCCCCCACGCTCTCCTTGGAGGCTCCCGACATGCTGTTGTGGGTGCGGGAGAGCGAGCAGCGGGAAGCGGGAAGCGGGAAGGGCGCAGAGCCCGGGTCTTCACTGGGGTGGGGTACGGAGGGTCATTGCTCCTAGTGGCCGACAGCCGGCCCACAGGGCCGCCCGACAGCGATCCCCTGGTTGTTCACAAGCCCGAGGACCAGCAGGTTCTCTCCGAGCCTTTGCCTGTCTCCCACTCTGCAGTGAGCCCTGAGTGACAGGCTGGGTTTGGCCCAGGCCCTTTTCCTTGGGCCCCTTTGACATCACGGCAGCACTGAACATTCCTCTCTGAGAGGGTGCTGATAGGCAAATATTTTAAGAATCTGCCCATGGCAGGCAGGAGTTCATAGAGCTGAAACCGAAGGTTAGCAGAAGGGGGTCCTTTCGGCAAAGGCCCTGAAAGCTGGACCGTGAGAGACCTCAGGAATCCTGGGGCAGTGCGAGGCCTTGGGACCCGACAGCTGAGGAGCAGTGGGGTTCCGCCCGCCACACACACAGCTAATTCACAATGAAAAGCCAGTGAATTCACAATTTACAAAAAGAAATGTGAGGCTATCCCGACTTATGCCGTGATTAAACATTAGGTGCTTCTGCAAATTAAAAACAAAATGCTGGCCTTGGCCGGGTGGCTCAGTTGGTTGGAGCGTTGTCCCGATACGCCAGGTTGTGGGTTCGATCCCCGATCAGGGCACATACAAGACTCAACCAATGAATGCATCAGTAAGTGGAACAACAAATTGATGTCTCTCTCACACCCCTTCCTCTCTCTCTCTCAAATCAATCAACAAATTAATTTTAAAAATGTTGGTGTTGCAACTTTGCAGCTATCCCAAACATGTGTTAGGCTGCCTGTGAGTGAGTCTGCAGGTCCCTCCCACACCAGGCCCTCTTCACTCCTCACTTGTACCTAAAAATGGAAAGTTAAGAACAATGGACTCGGCTGCTCGGCTACTCGCTAAGTGCCATCCCACAGGTCATGTTCCTCACAGCACCTTCTGGGGCACATCTGCCAGCGGCCCCTGCTCCCCCAACAGTGACTCTACGGAAGCAATGCAGTTACGCCCTCACGACCAAGGGGCCGTGTTTCCTGTGGGCTCCATGCGTTTGGGCCGCGCAGCCCTTGTTTCAAATGGAACTTTAACAGAGCATCATGAAATAAAGCTGACAAAAGGAAATGCTCAAGTTGACATGAGGTGGGGATGCCAGGGCTGCCACAGAGTCCCCGGGGTGCTGGGGAGCCACTGACTAACTCTATTTCCTTCAGGGCCCTCAGAGGGAGAAAGCAAGGCCAGAGAGGGTATGCACCCCAGGTTGGCCGGGCTCAGGGCCTCCTGAGGGTAGCTCAGCTGGAGTTCTGGGTGAGGACAGGGCAGCCCATCCACTCCTGAAAAAGTACAGGCTGACCTCTGTTTGCTGTGGGCTGGGATCAGCATGCACTGATTCCCAAGACTCTTTGCTGGCCTTTCTGGTGACAGCCAGCTTTCCCTGAGACCCCAGACGGTGTAAGAGGGGAGCAGAAATGCAAGGCTGAGTAGTGACCCCCTCCTCCCCCACCTCTTCACATCACAGGCATGGTGAGGAGGGCCCCACCCTCCCTGGAGGTCAGAGGACTGTATCTGGAGAGACTAAATGGTCCACGTTAAGACAGTTCTACGTGTTGGCTTTGGGGGTCCATACAATCATCCTCAACAAAGCCAAGCAGTCAACAAGCCTAAAACACTCACCAGCTTTATGCAATTCTAGAGCACAGGGATAAAGATTAAAGTCTCTCTGAAATTTAAGAGAAAAAAAATCATATATCCAAGAACTGAAATCAACATGACATCAGACTTCTCATCCTAACAGCAACTGGATGCTGGAAGACAAGGTTAGATGCAAAATGTTTAAACAGAAAGCATTTCCCCTTAGAATTCTGAAGACATTGCACCATTGTCAGAGGGCAGAATGAAGAGCTTTAAGACCAGCGAAGACGTGAAACATGTATGTACCCTTTCTAAGGAAGCTGTTTCGAGGATATACTCCAGCAAAATGAGGGACTAAGCAAGTGAAAAACTGAGCTCCAGGAAATAGCAGCTTCGACCTCAGTCCACAGTTGAAGCAGAAGGATGGATAGTCCACAAAAGGGAGGACTTCAGGGGGGAGAAGACAGCAAACGATGTAATATAATTAAAGACATGCAGTAAAACGTGGAGGGCCCCGGGCGTCAGACTGTCTGGGTTTCATTCCTGCCTCTGCCGGTTACTGGAGGCAGACTCGTGGGTGGTTTGCTTAGCCTCGGATCTGCGCTTCCTGGGCTGTAACATGAGAATAGCAATGCAGACGCTGCGTGGTGGCGTCGGACGGTTACGCGAGAAGGTTTACGAGGCACACGGTAAGTGCTCAAATTTAGCTACCCCTGTGATGCTGGCAAACAGGGCAAAGGGAACAAAAGAAATCAGAGACTCCAAGAAAATCCGGGATCTCCCAAGCAAGAATGAAATTAGAGTACATAATGGGTTTTCCAGTGAGTAACAATTACATAATCTTAGCGATACTATGCCATAATAAGGTAAATATGAAGTGAAAACAGTGACACGTGGACTGAGAATGGGGGAGGGAACGTGGAGGGGTGAGAGATGAATCTTCATTTCTCTGAACAGGGAGTCCGTGGATAACCTACACAATCGAGGAGGAGCCCGGGGGCAAATACCAGAGAAACAGCTAAAGACTGCAGTGTGCGTGTTTGCCCCGGGGAACAGGACCCAACGGGTCTGGAGAGGTGTAGGGCACAGCACCCCGGGGAGGCCAACGTCGACACGGGAAGTGGAGGGCTTGGTCAACAAAATCAAATTCCGTGACAACTTTCTGAGAGATGGAGGCCACGTGCCTGGGGGAAAGGCGTACTTTCTGGGTCAGCTGCACACTTGGCACTTACTCACCCTCTGTGCACAAGGCTCTCCTCGCCTGTGAAGGGCTCAGAACCGCAGGGCTGTCTGAGTACTCACACAAGCACGACACCAGCCCTGCCCGCCCAGAGGGCCAGCCAGGAGCACGCGGTGTCACCGCGGTGCAGGTGGAGGAAGGGGCTCCCTTCCCCAGCCTCACTCAGCTCCCAGCACCCGCCGCCCAGGCACCTTCCTTGCAGGCCCCGTTAGCTGAGGCGTGCTCAGAACGTGCAGACATGTCCTCCATCACTGAGCCAACGCGGGCAAGGACCCCAGAGATGAACCAGAGCACCGGCAAGCCTTGCGGGGTCCAGAACAAACTCTGGGGTCAGCTCCACTGGGCCTTGTCTGCCCACAGCGCCCTTCATGAGCTGGGAAGGACCCAAGCTGACCATCCCAGCCCGGACCCAGCAACCAAAGCTTCCTGCTGCGTTTCATGGTCCAAGAGGACCCAGGTCTAGGGAACAAATGTTGCCCACGCTCCCTTGGTCCTGTGACCCTAACAATTGTCCCTTGGGCTCCCACTTCAAAGCAGACTGGCCAGAGGCCGCCCTTACCGCAAATATCTGGGTGTAACCTGAGGCCCGCTGCGGGCCCCTGGTGCTGGGGCTGCGAAGTGCCAGAGGAGGGCACAGAGTCCTCATCCTGCCGCTGCGGAGACGCTGCCAACTCTGTGTTTACTCTGCCTGGAGATGCCCAGCAGCCCTGTGCTGGGAGTGAGGTGGGCTGGCCAGCCAAGGATGATTTCTCTAGAACTCAGGCAGCCTCGATAAGCCTGGCATTTCCGCTTATCTCTGACCCTGCCCCCGGCCCCGAGGCGCCCGAGGCTCCGCTTGTTATCTGCTCTGCTGGGCTGTATCTGCTCCCGGGGGCCTACTTCCTGCATCACTTAGCAGAGTGTCCAGTTGGGAAACAAACACCGCCTGGTCCTGGTCCGAGGAGGGGACGAGAGAGGGGGCCTGAGGGCCAAGCTGACCTGAGTTCAAACCCCAGAGGCCTGGTGCAGGGGCCCAGGGGATGCGCTGGGAATCCTTGCTGCAGGCAGCCCTGGGGACAGGAGGAGGCCTGTCTAGCAACACGGTGGGGTGGTGGCCCAGCTTTTCCTCACTGGGGCTGCTTGCATCTGGCCTGGGAGCCTGGTGATTTATCTCCAGGCTGGGAGGGTCCAGCTATTGCCTCTTCAAGTAAAACTATTCCGGAAGCAATGAAGACATACAGCAGCCCCAAAGACAGGGACGTTCTAGTTAGGGACGGGGTGACCACGACTGCAGCTGAATGAGATGCCAGCTCCAGCTGAGTGCTTGCTCTTAGGGAGGCTCCCTGGCCAGATCTTCCCAGAGTGCCCAGGGGAGGCCAGGCCCTCCATACACACTGAAACACATACACAGACAGACATACACACATTAACTTTGGGACCTCAGCTCACCTGGCCGGGTCAATGGGAATCAGAGAAGGGGCTGCAGGCTTTCAATATTAGCTCCTTTTCTGAGCCTGACTGTGCAGACCCTGTGGAAGGCACTCCAGCTACAAGTTTGATTTACACCCTCAACTGTGCTGACTCTCGGGGGGAGCTCAGACCTCTACCTGTGCTGTGGGAAACTCTGAAGGTCTGGGCAGGCACCAGGTTAAAACACACTGGAAAATGGAGAACATGGGATTGTCACCGACTGCCAGTCTGAGGATGTGGGTGGCAAGGGGCAAAAGGGAGCCATATGCCAGCAATTCCAGCCCTCCCGTGTCTGAAAGGAATTCCATCTTCATGGGCTCCAATTCTCTCCCTTTGGTCCATCCCTACCTTCAGAGCCTGGTCTCAGGCGTTTTTTATGTCAAATCTGAAAAATGGGTTGGTGGGACCTGAGGTCTGGGGAAGGATGCGGCTGAGCTGGGTAGTAAAGCACCAAGAGCCAGAAGAGAGAGGGAGAGAGACAGAGAGGAACAGGGTCTGGGGTTGGGGAGGCAGACCTAGGCAGCCCTGAGATGTTTGAGATTAGGAGAGAAAAGAAGGGAGGGTTTGCAGCACTGTCTGCTGCAGGAGAGAATGGTCACCGAGTGGGGAGCAGGAAAGGTGC